CAGGATCCACAATCTCAGGTTTGCCTGAAACAGGTAGAAATTAAAGCCTTAGGAATATTAGAATGAATGTCTAGAAATATGCAGGATTTTTAAATACCATTTTAAAATTTTTTCATATTTAACTGGGGTTTACAAAGTGGTTTGTAAATAAAATCAAGCTTTAAAAACATATTCTCGAGGCTGACGCCGTGGCACAGTAGGTTAACCCTCCACTTGCAGCGCCAGCATCCCACATGGGTGCTGGTTCTGTCCCAGCTGCTCCTCTTCCAATCCAACTCTCTGCTGTGGCCTGGGAAAACAGTGGAGGATGACCCAAGTGCTTGGGTCCCTGCACCCGTGTGGGAGACCAGGAAGAAGCACCTGGCTCCTGGTTCGGATCGGCGCAGCTCCAGCCATTGCGACCACTGGGGAGTGAAACCAATGGATGGAAGACGTTTCTGTCTTTCTCTCTCACTGCCTGTAACTCTACCTCTCAAATAAATAAATAAATAATCAAAAAATTAAAAAAAAATAGGCTGGCGCCGAGGCTCAATAGGCTAATCCTCCGCCTGCGGCGCCGGCACACCGGATTCTGTCCCAGTTGCTCCTCTTCCAGTCCAGCTCTCTGCTGTGGCCTGGTAGTGCAGTAGAGGATGGCCCAAGTCCCTAGGCCCTGTACCCGCATGGGAGACCAGGAGAAGCACCTGGCTCCTGGCTTCAGATCAGCGTGGTGCCCTGGCCGCAACGGCCATTGGGGTGGTGAAGCAATGGCAAAAGGAAGACCTTTCTCTCTGTCTCTCTCTCTCACTGTCCACTCTGCCTGTCAAAAAAATTAAAAAAATAAAAACATATTCTCAAGAAGACAAAGCTAAGGTATAACATATGTAAGTAAAATGCAGCTCAATATAATTCTAACAGAAACTGCTGATGTGAGCTAATGGGGCTTTTCAGAGAAGAAGAAAAGTGGAATCCTAAAAGAGAGACACTGACATTATTTAGGGGTGATTTTACTGGAAAAATATTCATCAGTTTAGGAGCAGGCATTTGGCTCTAGTGATTAAGACACCTGCATTGCATATAATAGTACTTGGGTTTCCACCTGTCCCTGGCTCCCAGTTCCAGCTTTGTGCTAATGCACACCCTAGAAGGCAATAGTAATGTGTTAAGTAATCCCTGTTTTGAGTTTGGCCTGCCCAGCCTGGTCATTTTGGGCATTTGGAGAGTGAACCAAATGTGCAAGGAAACATTCTCTCTCTCTCTCTCTCTCTCTCTCTCTCATACACACACACACACACACACCCCTGCCCCCATCCACCGGTTTTTTGGTTTCTCAAAAAAAAAAAAAAAAAGTATAAAGGTAATGATAAAAAGTCTTGATCTGTCTAGAAACCAGCTGTGGGTCTTATGGCCAGAAATACTCCAAGAGAGATGTAAGACCTGAGGATTCAAGGGTTGGGCTTTCTAGGTTCTAAGAATAGTTCCACAGTTAATTAATTCCCTGGGTTTATGTTTCGAGGTTGTTTTTTTGTTTTTGATAAATCTGAACTGTAGTAGCACATCTTACTATTTGCTTTGAACGTTGATATCTCCATTGACTAAATGGGGCTGGACACATGTTGGGTGCTCAACAAATGTGAAAAATGAGAGTAATCCTCATTCGGAAGGTGAAGGTCACTCTTTTGTATTTTTAAGAACAACGCTTGCAGGCCGGCACCGCAGCTCAATAGGCTAATCCTCCACCTGCGGCACCTGCGCCCGGGTTCTAGTCCCAGTCGGGGTGCCAGATTCTGTCCTGGTCGCTCCTCTTCCAGGCCAGCTCTCTGCTGTAGCCCAGGAGTTCAGTGGAGGATGGCCCAGGTCCTTGGGCCCTGCACCCGCATGGGAGACCAGGAGAAGCACCTGGCTCCTGGCTTCAGATCAGTGCAGTGCGCTGGCCACAGCGCGCCAGCTGCAGCAGCCTTTGGGGGGTGAACCAACGGCAAAAGGAAGACCTTTCTCTCTGTCTCTCTCTCTCACCGTCCACTCTGCCTGTCAAAAAAAAAAAAAAAAAAGAAAAGAAAAAAAGAACAATGCTTGCATACACACATAGAACTTATTATTTAAGGTTAGTATATACCTTTTAGTAACATTAGTTTGATTGGGAGAAATGTCTTTTGAAAGTTTGCATTCCCTTCCTTCTTTTCAGAGAAATGAGAAGGAAAATGTTGACACTATGAGTTTATTCATCTATGAGGGGAGAATATGGTGCAGTTAATACTTATCCATTATCCAGAGAGAATCACATACACTCATATACACAAATGTGCCTTCCTCGTGTTTAAACTCCTGTGGTTGTCAATTCTTCCTTTACTGTCTTTTCAAGGTGTATTGATCAAAGTTGAAAATTAACCCCTGGACCAGGGGCTACACACTTTTTCTGAGCCCATGCCTGCTTGTTACCTTTAATCCACATTCTTTCCACTATTTTGTTTCTGCTCTACTCCATCTCTAATCTCCATGTTGGTTGAGTTGCATGTAGCTTAGTTACATTGTGACTTTTTTTTGTCTAATATAATATTTTTCTCCTTATATTTCTAAATCACATTTGTCATGAATGGTTTCTCTTCCATTCCCATTAACTGGGTTGTAAAATTGATGATGTTTGCTTTCTAGGAGGAAGGAAATGAGTTCAAGTGATATGTGATACCTTGCATGCTATGAGGAATAATTGTACAACCCAATCACTGTATTACATTTATATCACATAATTGACAATTAGGAAAAGATTATTTTCTTTTATTTGAGAAAAATCAACTGGGATTGGAACTAAAGATTCTTTGGAAAATTTAAAATTTAAGGTGAAATTGTGAAATATTATAAAATTGATATTTTCACATTAATGTATTTCCATTAGTTACAATATTGCTTCCAATTGTGTCATAACTTCTTTTTGAGGGAATGAACAATCTTAGATATCGTAACAGTTTGTGGTGCTCCTAAATTCAACCCCATCTGACAAAACCTTATTCCCTTTATTATTTATTTTCTTTTCTGTTTTTTTGCATGGTTTTTTAGCATGAAAGACTGACATTGTTTTGATAAAAAGTGGCAAAATGTATATAAGGTCCATAGTACCGACCTATTGAGAAGAGATCACTGTGTCTGAAGGATTTTCCAAAGTTTCTAGATCTTCAAGTGACATTGTGAGAGGTGATCTCCATGTGTATATGGGAGCTACTGGCAATCTTGTGAATGATGTTAATTTTTGATCCTTAGTAGTTCTAACTTTGTTGTGGGCTTTGAAAAATAAATGCACATATTCTATTATTTTGTTTTACTGAAGTTATTCAACACATTAATAATTATGTCAAATACTGAAGACAAAAATGCTGATAATACCTAGATGAATATTAATAGCTATAGATGTTAAATATTTTGTCATATAAAGCAACATTGACAATTAGGTCCATGAAAAATTAATATTTTTTAATTTGACAGGCAGAGTTAGACAGTGAGAGAGAGAGAGACAGAGAGAAAGGTCTTCCTTTCCTTGGTTCACTGCCCAAATGGCTGCTACGGCTGGTGCTGCGCCGATCCAAAGCCAGGAGCCAGGTGCTTCTTCCTGGTCTCCCATGCGGGTGCAGGCATCCAAGCATTTGGGCCATCCTCCACTGCACTCCCAGGCCACAGCAGAGAGCTGGACTGGAAGAGGAGCAACCGGGGCTAGAACCTGGCACCCATATGGGATGCCGGCCCCCGCAGGCGGAGGATTAACCAAGTGAGCCACGGCGCCGACCCCTGAAAAATTAATATTAAGAAAATAATTTGGGGTTGGTATTGTGGCATAGCAGATAAAGCCACCACCTGTGATGCCAGTATCTCATATGGTCACCAGTTCAAGATTCAGCTACTCCACTTCTGATTCAGCTCCCTGCTAATGCACTTTTGTTGGAGACCTGGAAGAAGAACCCGGATCCTGGCTTCAGCCTGGCATGTCCCCAGCCACTGTGGACATATGAGGAGAGAACCAGAGGGTAGAAGGTCTCTCTCTCTCTCTCTCTGTCTCTCTCCCTATCTCTCTCTAACTCTGCCTTTCAAATAAATAAAAAATAAATATTTAAAAAATTGAACTTTTAATAATATATACCAGTTGCAAGTGATTATTGAATATTTCATTACATACTATCTGTTATATATTTTTATAAATTGCTAATTTGTGTGAGAATGTGATATATTACAATTTATGTGATAAATTAATTGCATTCAAAGTCATTCAGTAAATTTTATTATATTATCAAAGGCTACAAATATAACTTTTAACTTTGAGCTTACACATATCATTTAGTCATTTTTAACCCTGGATTGAGTAAAAAGATTAAATTACATATTTTAATGTTGAAAGTGTGGATTTTCACATGTTATATAAACATATATTCAGTATATCCCTATTATTAAAATTTAACAGGGTCAGGCTTTGGGTCTAGCAATTAAGACAACACTTGAGATGCCCATGTTCATATCACAACGCATGGATTCTATTCCCAGATCCAGTTCCCAATTCCAGTTTGCTGCTAGTGCAGACCCTGGGATGCAGGAGATTATGACTCAAGTAATTAGATCTCTATCACCTGCAATGACTTCCCACCTCTTCGATTTGACCCAGAGCAGTGCTGGCCAATGCAGGTATCTGGGAATAAACCAATGGATGGGAATTACCTCTCATGGTCTTTCTTTGTTTCTATCAAATAAAAGCTTTATAAAAGAAAAAAAAACTTGATTGTTAATTATAAAAATGTTATGAATCAGTTCAGTGGGCAAAGGAGAAGAGGCAACAATGGAAAAAATGCTTGAGAAAATGGTCAGATTCAACGTCAAAAGGAAAGCAAAACAGTAGTGGAAAGTAAGGGGTGGCATCCAGAAAATGGAAAATGGCATGCCCCCTATTTTAGACATCCGAATGAAGCAGGGTCTTCAGAGAACGAAGGAGCCAAGGTTGAGAGTCACTCAGCTCAGCCAGCCTAGCAGCATCGGCAAGATCCCAGATGGCCTCGGCATTTTGTCTTGTGCTGGTGCTGGTAGTATTCAACTGTATGTCTGTCTGTGCTCTGAATTGTGATCTACCTCAGACTCACAGCCAGAATAACAAAGAAACTTTCAAGAAGCTGAGAGAAATGAGGAAAGTGATGGGCTTCTTCTGCATGCAGTACATTCACGATTTTGGGTTACCACGGGAGGAGCTTGAAGGACACCAGGTCCAGAAGGCTCAAACTATTGCTGTGCTGCATGAGGTGACCCAGGGGGTCTTCACACTTTTCTGCGCACCGGACTCATCTGCTACCTGGAACAATACCATCCTGGACATACTGTGCTCTAGACTCCACCAGCAGCTGAGTGACCTGGAAGCCTGTGTGAAGCAAGAAGTGGAGGTGAAACAGACACCCACGATACAGAATCCCTCTGTACGAGCTGTGAATAAGTACTTCAGAAATATCCGCCTCTATCTGACAGAGAAGGAAGACAGCCCTTGTGCCTGGATGACTGTCACACTAGAAGTTTCGAGAGCCATGTCTTTATCAAGATTCTTGCAAGAAAGATTAAGAAGTAAGGATTGAGACTTGGTTCAATATAGAGATAATTCTTACTGTGTATTATACATTGCCACATATGGGGAAGTGCTACCGTTTCAGAGACTGTCATTTTTGTAGTACTGGTTTACATGAGTTCAGTTTGTCAGACGTCTTGAGGACTATTAAGGCACATTGTGTTCAAATCCTCAGGGACTAGTCCTGTACAGATATCCATGCATATATCTATTTGTGTATACATTTAAATGCTTATTTGTTTATATATGAGACTTATATTATTTCTGTCCATACAATATCATGTATACATTGGCTCTGTGACAACATAATGAAGTATTTTGTCTATATTCAATATTTCATTATTTTATTTTGTTAATTAAATTTTTACTATACCAAACTTCTAATATTTGTTTATACTTTATTATGAAACTGCAAATCTTGTTGTGCAACATTAATAAAGAGTTGGTGATAGAGTTAATTTACTGATCAATATTACATTCAAGGTATACTAAAATTTTCTTTTCCCTTAATGATGTTCCATGTTACACCCAGTGCATAGAATGAACAACACAAACACAGTTCTGTTGTCATTTAACTTTTTCACAAGAAAATAAATTCAGTATATCAATAACCACATTTCTCATCAGCTGTGTTAAATACTGTAATAAGAAAAATGAACAATGAAAGTCTCTGACTTGACAGTGGACTAGGGGTCTTTGAGAGATGAAAAGCAGAGACATCGTCCAAAAATTGACTGGTACAAATCTAAAAGAAAATGTCTATTGTCAGTTGGATATATGAGCAGGCAGTCTACAAGGAATGCAGTAGCTGAAGGTCCACTTGTGGCAATTGCAAATGCAGCCACGGAGGTCATCGTGGGGAGAGAGTGTAGAGGGAGAACAAACTCAAACATGATTCTGAGTACACTCATTTTTTAAGGCAAAAGTCACCTAGCAAACTGAAGCTGAATTGCCCACCATGGGAAGGACAAGAGAGGATGATAAAAGTGCCCTAAACAAAATTAAATTACCTCGATGAGGAATCGGAGGATTTATGAAACACATGAATGGAAATTGTCCACCACAGTAGGAAAGTGAATGGCAACGATGATCTGAGTTTGCGATGATTTTGTAGAATTCATAACCAGAAACCACATTAGCGTAGGTCAAGACATGAATAGAAAAATTAGTCATAACGCACATAAAGACTAATTTTGAGAGATTGGCCTTCAGCAAAGAAGGGAAAGACAGGATTGGTAGAAGGAAAGGATATGTATTAATGAATGTTAATTAAATATTGTGTCAGGATAGATTTCATAGGTTAAATATATTGGCAAATTATATTATTATCTTGAATATTACACTTATTTTAATTTATGACATATTAAAGAATTTGCAATGATTTTTAAAATTTGTATTAGCATATTAATCCAAATGTTAATTATGTTGAATGTCAGTAAGCTGCACTGTGAATTGAGAGTGTCCACTGCACCACTGCAGTGGGAAAATAGGTGGAAATGGAGACCCTGGTGGGCACTGGATGTGCAGATCAACAAGCAGAAACCACATGGAGTAGCTGGAAGGGGGAATAAGAGAAGAGAACTCCCATTGTTGAATTTTCACCTGAGGAGTCACTTCCTTCTTCATCTTCATGATACTCAGATCTGCACTGTTTATTTTCACCTAAACTGATACGAATGCCTTGACAACCTTCTGAGAATATTAAATGGAGAAATAAAAGGGTTGTAACAGAAAATTATGGAAAATAATGCATAGGCCCTTAAGTTTTCATTTTTACTTTGCGATTTTGGTTCTGCCCTCAGGTTGAAAGAGAAACAAATTCAGAGGCACTAAGAGAAGTTGTGCCAACAAACATCAAATATTAAAGCTTGAAAGCAGTAAAGGAAAGCAGGGTGATTTTATCTAACATCATAGTCTGAGACTTACTGCCCAGCATTTTTACTGTGAGACACAGAATGATGAACCCAGAAGCTCAACTGAAAGGCCTTAACCTTATGGAGAAGTGGGTGTGCCAACAAGAGTTCAGTTACTCTCAAGGGCGGAGGGCAATGGGAGAGGTGCAAAATGATGCAGGCTATTTTTTCTGTCTATAGGTTACCTGTTTTTTTTCTGGTTAGAATCCACGCAAGTGACATACTGGAAAATCAAATTAATGTATTCAATACATTTGTTTTAACTCAAGATGCATATTTTACATCATAATGAATTATTATTTTAATTAGTGCTACTTTAAATATCAGGGAGCTGCTGTTTTTGATAATTATTAGGCAGGAATGAATTACTTATTCAATCCTCCCTCAAAATATCTAGTTATTATTGATTATGTATTGATTTCTGATATTAGTTGCTTTGGTAATTAACTTAGGTAAATTTCTGTTGCTTCTACTCTAGCCCATGACAGCTGCCTTATCACACACTCCATTTTCTAGGAGAGCTAGATATGATAAGCATTGTTTTACATTACACATTGTAAGTTTCCTGATTATATGAGTATTACAATCTCATGTGGATCCACAATAAACAAATTACCACAGACATATACACCGATAAAGTACCCTCATCTAATAAAGGTGGGAAGCAAAACTTTAAAAAAGGCCAAAACCAACATGGACGATGGAAATCCTGACATCAAAACTGATTCAGGAATAGAAGGAGAAATAACAGATGATAACAGAAATTCAGTGTATGAAACTTACAAATTCACCATTTCATAGTGAAATTCCATTCTACTTGGACTTACTGGTGATGCTGAGTCACCCACTTAGATTCTATGGCCCTCAATTTTCCTGCAAAGTTGGTTAAAAATTTATTTTGTTGTGCATATTAAGTGAATACATGCATTTTAGAGCACTCAGTAGAAAATCTTCCATACAGTAAGAATTCAAACTATTGCTAATATTGTCCTTCTCCTTCACTGTCTTTGTAACATGAATTGTCTTTCTATAACATTCTTAGGAACCACGTCCTAACACTTCAGCCACTGGCCAGCAGTGGAGGCAGCCTGAAAACCCAGAATTCTGTCAAGAATTCCAGAGAGGCTGAGAAGCTGTCCCTCCTCATTTCCATGCTGTTCCTGCTGTAGTCAGTCAGGACATGGTGCCTTGTATACACCCCTGAAACAGGAGATACACAGCTGTATGAGGTGCAGAAGACAGCAGTTGCATGTTCACCGATTTTGGCACCTGGCTTTTCAGAATCCATCCCCCCATCATCACAGTTTCCCTCTTGTCTGATGTAAAATTTCCCAGAGGGCGCTTGTCATTGATTCCCTTCACCTTCCTGCCCATTCACACATAGCTGCTCTGTGCTCAGTTGTGGTTTCGACTGAACATTTTCCCTAGAGAGTAGGGAACCACAAAGACAGCAGCAGTTTAACAAAAGTTCTGGGTTGGCCTAAACGTCTGCAGGAGAGACTCTCCTAACTTCCGGTGCATATGATGTAACAGTCGCTGCAGCTAAGGGAAACAGAAAGCAGGGTTGGGTTTCTGTGTGGGCCACTGACATCATCTCAGGGAAAGACGGCGCCCTGGAGCCACGTGTGACAAAGGCAGCAACCAAGACGCACAGGAGGGCAGGATTCTGAGCTGCGCAGAAATGCTACTCTGAGTAAAAATCGAATATCATGCAGCAAAAATGCTAGTTCTCGGAAAGAACTGAGTCCCATGCTTTAGTGGGCCTGTTTCCTTCACCGTTCATCTGTTGTAATAAAAGACCTGGCTTTGATCAGGGCATGGACTCTGTGAGACTTGAGAGCTGTAGAAACAGAGAAGCACGCACTCCCTGCCTGTTTCCACTGTGCAGACCACAACATCCCAATCTCACGCCCTCCATGCATGTGGGACTCCAGGGGAAGGGAGAGCTGCCAGTCTGAGCGTGAAGTTCCCTGCTAACCAGAGAAGGCTCCTGTCCATTGTGCGTTAATTTCTGTAATACAATCTTAGTCTCCAAGTTTCACATCTAATTTCAGACTTCAAATTTTAACCAGTAGACTAAATACCCTAGCTGTCAGTTTCCATAATGTTGATACCTCTTCTGCCGAGGAGTAAAATCTCCATCTAGATAGCAAGAAAGAAATGTCCCAGAAAAGCCAAGAAACATGGATGAACAGAATCATTGCTCTCAGAGAGCTAAGGTGGTTGTATTTTATTCAAATTTACCAATTTTTGTATACTTTGTGAATCAGTTCTGCAGACAGCACCACACCTACTCTGATGTGTATCATCAGGGATGGGGAGAATTGCGGAGGCAGCCGCTACAGGGTGCTCTTGCAGAGGAGCCTCTCGAGTCTTGTCCTTGGGATTTGTATTCAACATACGGATATGCTGCTCTCATCAAACGTTGGCCAGGACCTTCTGTAAATCTCCACAGATTTTCGCTTTTGCCTTGTGATCTGGGTGGACAAATTGGGGAGAAAGATAATGTCTGGAAATGCTAGGCTTCCTCACCTGTAGGGGAACAGGATCTGTAGAATGTGTTACCCCAGAACAGGTAGCTCTCATGGTGGCAGATTTCACAAGCTCAACAAATGGAGGTTCATACATATTGTTGGTGATTTTTATGTAGTTGTGCCTGTTTTGGATGCATCTGTACTGAAACTGTACAGGCTTTTCTTCTTGTCATATTTTCCTAGAAAATGCATTTAACAAATTATCTATCCCACCCCTCAGCAAATAAGATTATAGATCAGGTGTTTCGGTGGGTTTCGTTCTTGCCTTATAACTCAATGTCGACCTGATTATCAAGTCTTTTTCTTCCCCAAATTGTGCTTAAAAACGCCACTACCATGAGCCCCTTCAGATTCTGCCTGTCTTGGAGCCCCCATCCTGGCCACTATGGCTGGAGGTCACTGACTTAAATAAATCTTGTTTTTAAATTTAAAAAAAGGCAATTTCATAGATTTTTAAAAATTTTAATAATCTACTTTCCAAGGATAAGGAATTTTCCCCTAGTGGTTAGGACAGGACCCATGTCCTGTATTGGAATACTTTGGTTCAATTTCTGGCTCCAGGT